AACATTTTATTAGCAAATGCTGGACACATATTAGGGGGTGCGGAAGTGGAGCTTGTTCTAAAACCTCTATTGGTTTGTTGACAACTTACTTTGATGTCATTCCTTAATTGAGCAATGACCTGACAGACAAAAGTTTGCTGCTTAGAAGTGTCTGTTATGGGATTTGTCTAGATGAAACGCAAATAATCTTCTGTTCCAATGTATATCATAAACAATGATCGTTTGATGTATCGACGGTCCAACTTGATTTCATTGTTTTGAATATATTCACTTGATGAGCCAGTGTCTAGATAAACACACAAAATTTTAAAAACAATTTAACTTTTTTAATTGATTTTTTATTTAAAAATAAAATAAATTTCTTACTTTATAAGTTAATAAAAATCTAATGTCTTATAACTTTCTTTTTCCCGTCTATAACTTTTAGTCTTTTACGTTTTACTGATTTAGCAAAAGCAGACTTCAAGTGTCCGCCGGAGTCTCAAGAATGGAAGTATCGGCAACAGCAAAACTAGCTCCACGGCTAATATCAGCGTCCTAGTTATACGCTGGTGGGAGTACTTCGTTCCGAATAGACATGAACACAGCTCAACTGTTTTAGTAAATCTTATTTTAGTAATATATACTCCACAAAACTATATATTAATTGTTTTATACCAATTAATTAATGCATACGTGCACCAAGAAGAAAAACCAAAATCTGAAACCATCTTTTTTATTTTGTCAACAAACCATCTTCATTAGATAAATGTCTTTTTCGTCAAAAGGATAATTATTTGTCTTAACATATAATTAATAAAAGAAATATTAATTTTATAAAATATTTTTTGAAAAAATGAGACTATGTGTAAAGTGTATTTATTAAAATATTTTTATTAAGTTTGTTATTGTTTTTAAGACACTCATAATATAATATTAGTATTTTATAATTACATACTAATAAAAGGAGTTATTTGAGAGGATGCCACGTCATCTTTTCTAAATCATTTTAGAGGATGCCACGTCATCTTTTAACTTCTTCAAATTAAACGTAGCCACCTAAGATTGATGTTGTTGTTGATGTGTTAATGGATTTGATATGGATCCTTAACCACTTAATATTCTATATACATAATAGTTTTGATGGATCTTTATATTTTTTTTTTCCTCAAGCAAAACCCAAATGTCCAAAGTATTCTCGTGGCCCAACTAATCTAAAAAAAAACAAAAACCTACTTTCTCACCATCTCTCTCATCGTCTTCCAGTTCCCACCCTCACGATTCATAATCAAAGAAAACAATAATCGTTATACCGGTTTAACTTTCTTATCAAACCTTAAACCTTTCCACTTCGTATTTTTCATTCTCTAATTTAATGGCCACTACCTCCACAACCATTATCAGATTCAAAAATCAATCCTATAAAATCTCCTTTCCTCGCCGACCATACATACATCTCAAGAAACTCTTCAGTCTTAAAATGTCTAAATAACAACCCCAATTTACTCTTGAGCCTTTCACGTTCCAGATTTTTTATGGCGTTGAAGGAGAAGACGAAGATGTTTTGCTCTAAGGTAGCGTCTTCAACTAGACCCCTTTGTTAGTTGTTGGTTCTTTGAAATCGTAATTGATAGTTTGAAATTTTGATCTGGATTTGTGTAGTTGTGGTGATGATGGTAGAGTTAGGGGATGGAAATGGAAAGAATTACTTACTAATAAAATGAGTTATTTGGGCTCCCGAAGCAAGCCACATCAGCTTTTCTAAATCATTTTAGAGGATGTCATGTCATCTTTTAACCTTTTTAAACTAAACGTAGCCACCTAAGATTGATGTTGTTGTTGATGTGTTAATGGATTTGGTTTGGTTTGGCTTTATTTTAGTTTGGCTTTTTGTGGTTTGTGTTCAACCAATTATTTTTTTGTAAATCTTGTGGGTGAAAACGTGACTATAATCTTCCACGTTTTTATTCTTTAAAATTGTAAAAATTAGAGATAGTGAACCTAATTTAATATAATTTTAGATTAATTGATTTATAAAAATTATATCAAATATGACAAAATCAAGTGCAATGTAGAAAAAAATACATATTTAATATTTATAATATTATTTTATATTATTAATTAGTTAATTAAATACACACATTGTGTTATCGGTTCTGTTCGATTTTTTACCGAATTGAACCGAAACGTTCTAGTTAAATATAAATATAACCGAATAGTTTGAATGTCAATTATGATTCGGTTTGGGTTGGTTGGTTAAATTTGGATCAATTTAGTTCGGTTCAAAAGGGTCTTTTATAAAATTACTAGTTTAGTACCCGTCCGATAGACGGGTTATCTTTATTTAAAATTAAATTAAAATTAAATTTATTATAACTTTTAAAAAATAATTTCCAAATCTTTTTTTTGAAAAATAAGAGAAAATTATTTTCATTTGGAAAGAGATTTTATTTGGTTTAATGTATCAAATAAACGTGTATATATGTATATATATATATATATATCTTAAAATACGGTATTAAACGTTAATTAAAAAAATTTAGTAATGTCAAACGTCAATCACCAAAACATTTGGGAGCTATTTGGGAGCTATTCACCATTATTCATAATATTTCTAAAATATCTAGAAAAATCTTAATTTAGCAATTATCCTCTAAAGCATGATTATATCATTTTGTAAAAATTGTTATTTCTTAACTGTTAATTTTTCAAGAAATCATTCTCAAACTATGAAAACTAACTAATATTATTTAATATGATGGTAAAGTTCTTGCAAATTAACATCAATCTAAAATATGATGTTAAATACAAATATAGTCATTTGTAAATAAGTTCATATAAACAACGCAAATAAACATAAAGATTCTAAAATAAATTATAGCATCGTTGATGAAAACATTAAAAAATCTTTCAAATACGAATTATAAAAAACTACGTATTTTTAAAAAATATTTTAAAATTACTATATTACGAATTATATTGAAATTTTGTTATCTTTAATTTAAGCTAAAAATATTATTTTCGAAAATTGTTTATTCACCCTTATGTTTTAGACAATGAAATGGCTCAATGGCATAATACATTCATACATAAATTAAAAATTAAAAAAATATAACATGTTATAAAATAAAAATCATGACTAAAAATATTTATTTAGTTAAACTCAAAATGTAAATTATTTGTACAATGTAAATCCTAATTTTCCTTTATGAACGCAAACTGATAAATAACCTTGTTTAATTGTAAAATCTAAATCTCACTCCTCTTTTATAAACCCAAACCGATAAATAATCTCGTTTAATTATAAAATCTAAACTATAATAAACATTTATAAACTCAAACCAACATATAACCCTTATAAATGTAAAACCTACAACTGGCAAAACCAAAAATTAGGTAAATAGTTAAAAGAGAATTTTTGAGAAATACCCCTTTCAGTGTACATCTTTTTAAAAATACACCAATTTTCTATCCATTTTTAAAAATTCCTCTTTCAAATATGAAAAATTGTAAACTTTTATATAGTTACCAAATTGACATAACTGAAATTAGGTTATTTGTTTAAATTTATTAATAATTTTTGATATATAACTCTTTATAATATTTGTTTTATATATTTCCTTTTTCGATAGGGTTAATAATATTCTTATTTTATCTACATATTAACAAAATTAGAATCGACACGTGTCAACATCTTAACGTTAATAACTGACACATGTCAAGATCTTTGTAATGGCTGACTTTGAAAACCAAAGATTATTAGGTTTTAACCCGCGGTACACCACGGGACAATTGTTTTAACTAAAAAATATATATAAGTTATATTTGTTAATTTTATTACATTTTTAGTGTTTAAGATTGTATAACTGTATTTTTGATTGTTATTTTTATTACTTAACTCGCGGGATTGTTTTTTGTAACTCGCGGAACTAAAAAAGTTATGTTTAAGTTATATTTGTTCTTTTTTTTGTTTTGTTAACCCGTAAGATAACCCGTAAGAAAAACATAAAACTCAAACCCGTTAAATCTTATCTATGTAAAATATAAACCTTGAATGTTTTATAGATTTCGAGAGATTTTGGTTTTTGCCACAATCAAGATTTTAAAATTTTTGATTCCCTAAAATTTAGTAAAACTTTTTTTGTTGTAATCTTCCATTCAAGATTTTGGATTTTTAAGTTTCATATTAGTCATATTTATAATGGTTCCGAACCATTGTCTAAAATTTTCTACCCGATGTGGGACGTTATATAAATATGTTTTTTCTTTTATCGATTAAGTAATATACGTCCGTTTTCAAAAAATCAAATTGCTACATATGCAAAAAAAATTTGTATTTTTATTATACTTATGTTTTACGTAATAATGTAAATTTTAAAACAAATAAGATCATATAAGGATATTGGAGAAATATTCAATTTATTAAGGAGACATTTTAGGAAATTTTGTTAAATGTAATAAATATTAGTTTATAATTTTGCAATTCTGGTGTAATTTAATTACAAATTTTATCTTAAAAGCTTGTTATTTATTTAAATGGGAAAGATTTATTATGCAAATAATACAAAATAAAAGGTTATTTTACAAAAGGTACTTCAAAAATGTTAATATAGAATCATAGATATAATAAGATCAGCCTATTACCCGATAACAATACTTGAAAAAAAAAAAAAAAAAAAAAAACTAAACAGGGTTGACCAAAAAAAAAACAAAAAAAAGACGGGCTATTTAGTTTAAACGTCTGTGAATGTAACGAGCTTTAGAGAAACACTTACAAGAAAGAAAAAAAAAATCCTTCTGGTTCTTCCTCTTCCTCGATTCGTTTCTTCCACAGTTCATTAGGGTTTCAATCTCTCTGCTCCTTATCACCACCATCACCTTCGTCTCTCTGTATCTTCCGGCGGCTCCTTTCTTTACTTCCCTCAGGTAAACTCTGTTTTTACTCTTTCACTATCTTCTTCTCTCTCCCTCTTGCGGGTTTCGGTGAAGCGGGAGATTCTTAAAGTCAATCCAATGTAAGCACGATGAAGGATTGGTTGTTGTTATTTGTCAAGGTTTACTTCAAGCGTTGTGAAGAGTATGAGCGTCGTCTCGTTAAGATCAAGGAGATATTTTGGCCTTTCCAGCTTTCGATTCGATTTCTCTGTTTTCGGCTTGTGTTTTAGTGATTCCTCGTTTGAATTTTATCTTGGCTTTTCAATCTCCTCACATAATCGATTCCTCTTAGAAAATTTTGTTGTTTTGGTTTGTTTCGATCTTATCTTCTTGGTTTCATTTACAGTGAACACAATTTAGATATAGTGCTTCTTCTTGTGTGAATTCTTAGTTTAAACGATATGGCATATAGCTTTAGTTTTGACTGCTGTTTGAATAAGTAGGATTGTGCTCCATTAAAATAGAATAGTTTTACTACCATTCTTTTGTATAGATTTGAGCTAGAAATATTCCCCAGTGATCTTGACTTTTGTTTTGTGCTTGCTTATGAGTTACTGTATTTTGGTTCTTGTACCTAATTTTTTCTGTTCTCTCTTCGTGGATTCAATTGTGAACTAACTGAATAATTGCTCGTCTATAGTGGCCTTACTTAACACTGTGAATCTGATGTTGTTTTAGTGAATTTGGATCTTTTATGACATAATTGTTCAGTATTCATCTTCTAATCATTATTCCGGACCATGTTTTCATCTTTATTGGTATATTAATGTTGTTATATACATCTTTAGTTTAAACGGGTACAAAACATTTTCTGTTTCATGGGCAGGGTCTAAATGGGCAGGGTGCGGCCATTTTGACATCACTACAAAGGCTTAAATATATCTCTCTCTCCCATCGCTGGAAATCGGCTTGATTCCTCCGTCACCACCTTGCCACGCCGGAGATTTGGTCGCAATGTTGTCGTTCAATCTATCTCATCCTCTCTATTTGAGAACCCGCCATCTCAAGCTTTTATCTTGTTACACAGATTCGTCTTCTCCTTCAATCGCTCGAAAGGTTTACTCCAAAATTTGTATTTGAGTTCTTAATTTTGCATTGCTTTCACTTCATATCTTGAATTTGGTAATCTAATATTGTACAGTTGATCAAGGACTCGAAGCTATCAAGAGTTTTCAGTAGAAAGCTACAAATTGTAGACTATGCTTCATTAGTGCAAACCTTAAGCCAGAAAAGATTGCCTAAAGTAGCTTATGAGATTTTCATCCAAACGAAATCAGATAACCTGTTGCCAAATTACAGAACGCTTTGTGCTCTTATGCTTTGCTTTGCTGAAAATGGGTTTGTTCTTCGTGCACGTACGATTTGGGATGAGATTTTAAACAGTTCTTTCGTGCTTGATCTTGTTGTCATATCAAAGCTCATGTCTGCTTATGAAAAGATTGGTTGTTTTGATGAAATTTTCGTGATCACCAAGGATGTAAGTGTGAGGCATTCGAAGCTGCTTCGGGTTGTATGTTCACTTGCTATATCTTGTTTTGGAAAGAATGGTCAGTTGCAATTGATGGAGGGTGTTATAGAGGAAGTTGATTCTAAGGGAATGTCGTTAGATTCTGGCACGTCTAATGCGATTGTTAGATACTATAGTGTTTTCGGTACTTTAAAAAAGATAGAGCAGGCATATGGCAGGCTTTGGAAGTTTGGAATTGTGATAGAGGAAGAAGAGATAAGGGCTGTGTTGCTAGCATATTTAAAAGAAAGAAAGTTTTATCGGCTACGTGAGTTTTTGTCAGATGTTGGTCTCGGTAGAAGAAATCTAGGGAATTTGTTATGGAACTCTGTATTACTTTCATATGCAGCTGACTTTAAGATGAAAAGCTTGCAGAGAGAGTTTGTTGGAATGCTTGATGCGGGTTTCTCTCCTGACCTTACCACCTTTAACATTCGAGCCCTTGCGTTTTCTAGAATGGCTCTCTTTTGGGATCTACATCTCACTCTTGAACATATGAGACATTTAAACATTGTTCCAGATCTTGTGACTTTCGGATGTGTGGTCGATGCATACATGGACAGGCGACTAGCAAGAAATTTGGAATTTTTTTACAACCAAATGAACTTTGACGATTCTCCTATTGTCTTAACTGATCCACTTGCATATGAAGTACTGGGGAAAGGCGATTTTCATCTTAGCTCAGAAGCTGTTTTGGAGTTTAGTCCGCGGAAAAACTGGACGTATAGAAAGCTACTCGGAGTTTACTTCAAGAAAAAGTTGCGGAGAGACCAGATTTTCTGGAATTACTAGTCACCTACCACCTCTTTGCTGCAAAAACGTCATGCTTTGCTTATTACAATCCGGATGGTTTGAAACATTGAGGTTGGAGAGCCTTCTTGCAACTATATTTACATTTTTATCATATATGCATGTATTTACAATGTTGTTCTGTCAAATAGATCGGTATATTAGATTATATTACAAAGTATATTTTTTTTGTGCGAACATATTACATAGTATATGTGTTCATTCATTATTGTTGAAATGCATACTTTGCATAGTGACCTCCTTTTTTCATCTTCTTTTAATTGATCGATCATTTCTATGATGTATTCAATGGTTTTTGTATTCTTTTTGTTTCCTTGGAGAAAGATTTTACGTAAAACTAAGATATTGTGATTGTTAAAAAACGCTTAAGTGAAGTAATCAATATAAATTATAATATACTGTATTGGTTTTATATAAAAGTTTTTTTTCACTATTGAGTTTATTCAAGATTGAAACCAGTACATATTACACAAAGCCAACAAAGTCCAAGACAAGACTTTCTGGAAACAAAGTCGGCAAGGGTCGAAAGCCCTCCAGAGATAAAGCCGGCAAATTTAAAGGAAACTCCCGGAGCCAAAAGCCCGATTAACGGGATACAAGATCAAGTTGATAAAAGACATAAAACTATAAATATTATCATCATGCTTCTTTCTTCTTCAATTAACCAGTATTTCTAAAATTGGAAGCTGATTCCGACACCTCCAGAAAGCGGTCAGAATTGAACTTCTGGTCTTATAGTCCCCACTTCATTTTTGGAGACTTCGAAAATTAGAGATCTTGATCTACCTAAGAACGGCAATTTACTACTATTCATCTTTTCTGCTCACTTTATATTAGCTAGTATAGCTTTTTAAATATAATTTTATGAAAAAACTTTTGAGTATCTAAACTTAATAAATTCTATTTTGTACAACTACTACCTCTCATTGTTATATAATATATGATCATTAACAATATAATTTAGCACTTTTCACTTTTTCGAATCTAATCACAACCATAGTTTTATTTCGGAAAATTGTTTGCCAGCTACACAGACAATTCACCAACACATACGCACACATGCAAACAATTTTAATGTTTGGCTAACTACATAGACTATCGACATCACATGAGCACATATCTGAACAAACATTGGTTATGTACGCAGCACCATAACCATAACTTCCAGTACCGTCCCGTTTTAAGGAACGACGAAATCCGGTGACGTCCTTTAATTCTGATTATGACCCGATTAAGATTTTAACCCACAATTTTTTTAAACCGGACCAGATTGAATTAAGCCCAAACCGGTCCAATTGAAATTGCAACATAACAAACCTAGTCTCCTCCTCTTCCTTAGTCATTCAGGATTTGCAAAGAAACACAAAAAATATCTTTCTAATTTCTTGACGAAGAAGAACAAATCTTCAAAAATCTACTCTCATTGACTGAAGCAAACGTGAATCTCGTTACGATGAGGTAAGTTCTCTCGTTTTAACTTGATTTGAATGTGAATCGGAGATCGATTGTTTTCTGGGTTTGAAGGGGTTTCTGGGTTTGAAAAGGTTTCTGAGTTTAAAAGAGTTTATCGATTTCTTCTAAGTTTTTTTCTGGGTTTATGAACTTTATATAAGAAAGTGAAAGTGGTGTCGATTTCGATAGTTGCTTAGTTTGAAAAAACGATTTGTCTTTTGTTTCTTGTCGATTTATGTCGGGTTTTTGTCGGGTTTTTTTTTATCATTGTTTAAGACGACCAGTTGACTAATGTTGATAAATTTTTCGTTTTTTTTATTGTGTAGTAACGAGTCACTTGTTACAGTAAGTTGCCATCATTCTGGGCATTTTAAAACGACAAATGGTGTCTTGGATTACGTTGATGGAGTGCTTGATGTTGTTGAAGTAGATCGTGATATTATATTTGCAGAAGTGATATTGAAGTTGCTTGATCTGGGAGAATGTGGTAGAAGCTGCCATTTGAAGACTTAGAAGATAAACATCCTCTTTGGGAAAATGTGGATGCAAATAAAAAGAAGATGCAAGCAGCAGGTCGTTGGATGAGAAAGTTGGATGTGTATGTTGAGAAACCAATAATTGAGGAGCTACAGATAGTGCCAGAGATAGCTACAGCAGTTGAGAATCCAAGTGATGGAGAGAGTGACCCAGAGTATGAACCCGAAGCGGATATAGAGGTGTCTGATGATGATGATTCTAATGATGAAGAAGCTGGTTTGTCTGACAATGCAGAATCAGCTGATGATGATGATGATGATGAGGTTGTTGAAGCGGATTTAGAAGTTTTCAATCATGAGAGTTATGAAGAACAGATTTCAGATGAAGATGAAGTCTACCCTGCTACTGATGCTTCTTCTGGTGATGAAGAAGAACAAGCTGAGAGGTTGGTAAGAAGGAATTTACCTGATGGTGTGTTCAGCCTGAAACAAATATTTTCAAGTGGTCAAGAGTTTAAACAGAATGTGATTAGATATATATTGAAGACAAGGTGTAATGTGGTGTATGATAGGTGGGAAAAAGAAAGACTTGATGCTAGTTAAACCCAAATATTTTCAAGTTAAACCCACATTTTGTTCCACAAAACCCAGAAACCCAGAAATAATAGAGATTTCGATTTCTGTTTCACATATTTACTATCAAGATTTCGATTTCACATATTATTCAACTCAAAAAGATATATCTTACCTTGTATCGTGATGAGATTCGAATTCCTCTTAAGTAAAATGGGATTTTTTTTTTGCTTTACAAATCGTGAAAGAACGAGGAAGTAAAAGAGTGTTTGTCATGTAGACATTTTAATTGAACCGGGTTTGAGACATTACAATTTTGGTTCCGTTAAAAATTTTAATATCGCCGGTCAAATTATTAATTGGGTCATAATCGGGATTAAAAGCCGTCACCGGATTCCGTCGTTCTTTAAAACGGACGGGTGTCGGAAGATATGGTTATGGTGCTGCGTACATAACCAATGTTTGTTCAGATATGTGCTCATGTGATGTCGATAGTCTATGTAGTTAGCCAAACATTAAAATTGTTTGCATGTGTGCGTATGTGTTGGTGAATTGTCTGTGTAGCTGGCAAACAATTTTCCTTTTATTTCAGCCACTCTCAACCATTTCTACAATTATATACTTTTTAATAAAAAAACTCACGTTTTTCCCACATTAGTATTAATATAAATATATGAATTTATGGTTTCACAATTTTTTTAGATATATCATTTTTCTATCGTTTTGCAAGCACTCATTTTTCATCATCTTTTATCCGCACAACCACATCTACCATTCAAGATTCTTCATTGTAGGATATTTATACTGAATTATGAACTATAATTTGCCAAAACAATATTAAAAATAAAATAAAAACATAGGAAGATAAACTATAAACTTTACATATATTTTTTTCTTTTCTAAAATATATATTTTGATAATGCGGATGTATTCAATATTCTGTTCGTTCAATATTTTGTTACAAAATTTTGTACATTCAATATCTAAAACTCTTCATAAAATAATTAAAATTTTATAATTTTCTAATCTATTTCATGAAAAATGTTACTTCATACTGGTGCACAATCTTAATAAATTTAGTGACACTAATATGGATTACGTTATGTATTCAAATTCTAACAAATGATTGAAGATGAAATATCAAAAATTTAATTAATAATGATATTATTTTGACAAAACAAGTTTCCATTTCTCGTTTCTTTCATATATAGATGACTATTATAATTGAAGATAAATTATTAACAAATTTTAATTTATAATCAGTAATATGGTTATTATGGTCAAAGGGAGATAATATGATAGATATTTTCATATATATTTTTGTATATCTATCAATTAATTTTAGAAACTAAGAACTTTACAAAATTTTAGATTTAAGGGACAATTTTAAAAATACTCCTTTTGGGGAATATATTTTTAAAAATACCCCACAAGGGAGATCATTTTTAAAAATACCCCTATTTTTGGGAAAAAAACAAATATACCCTTAATGATTTAACCTAATTGCAAAAACTATTTTCTCCTTCTCCATCTTCTCTCTCGATTCATTCTCTCAGCATCTCTTCCCTCTACATAATTTCTCTCTCCGGATCTTTTCTCTCTCAATCTGCTCTCTCTCCATCATCTCTCTCTCGATCTGCTCTATCTCTATCATCTCTCTCTCGATCTGCTCTATCTCTATCATCTCTCTCTCCATCTGCTCTCTATCTCTATCATCTCTCTCTCGATCTGCTCTCTCTCTCCATCATCTCTCTCTCTCTCTCTCTCTCTCTCTCTCTCTCTCTCTCTCTCTCTCTCTCTAGCGTCGTTGTCGGTAGTTATGGATTTTTGAATATATTGTTCAGGTTTTTGTTAATTTGTAAAATCTATATAAATTTTGGATAAAATTGAATAGAATGCTAGTAGTTAGCCCTGATACGGAGCCGGATATCCGGCAATAATCATAGTATTCGGATCCGGATCCGGCCGAATTCCCAATATCACTATCCGTATCCGGCTCCAAAACCTCGGATATCCGAGATCCGGATAACCAAAAAAACACCCGAATATATGCGGATATGCGGACATCCGGATCCAATCTCAACAACAGTTAGATCTCTTTTACTGTGACGGTTGACCCAAGCTTTGCCAAAGTAGCCAAGCTCCGCCGTAATTAAAACTCCACCGTCATCTTCGCCATGAAAAAAGCTATTAGGAAGCCAAAACCCCACGATATCTTAACGAGTTCAACAACCAAATTTCTCCACACAAAAAAAACATATCCACCATGTTTACTTTTACATATCGCCTTCATCACCGAAATCGTCTTGAACTCACACCAAGTCCATTAATTTGTCACCAAACACCAATAGATCTAAATCGAAGATGAAGGATGAAGAAACGTTGATTTGAGAAAAAGATGGAGAGCCTCAAAAAGTCAAAAAGTGATTTCACACTTCTCTCGTAAATTTGGAGAGAGAAACTGAAGTTAATTGAGCTTTTTTATTTTTTTGGTCTTATAATTCAATTGGGCTTTTTAAGTGGTTTAGTAACAAATTAAACACAATTTAATTATAAAACCGGATCCGGATATCCAGTTTTGAAATTTCTTAGTATCCGGATCCGGACGGATATGTAAATCAACTATCCGGATCCGGCTCTGCCCGTCCTGGATATCTGGTTTTTCGGATCAAATTGAGACGGATACCGGA